TTCATTGACAGCCAAGACATTTGACTGTGTGGATCACAACAAATTGTGGCTAACCTTGAGGAGAATGGGAATCCTAGAATACTTGATTGTGCTGATGAGAAACCTATACTTGGAACAGGAAGGAGTCGTCAGAACAGAGCAAGGAAACACTGCATGGTTCAAAATCAGGAAAGGAGTGTGTCAGGCATGTGTCCTATCTCCATACCTTTTCAATCAATGCAGAACAGGTCATTTGGGAGGCTGGACTTTATGAGGAGAAGTGTGGCATCAGGGTTGGAGGATGACTCATCAACAACCTGTGTTATGCAGATGAAACAACCTTGCTTGCTGAAACTGAGGAGGACAATGAGGTGTTTGCTGCAGAAAGTCAAGGACTGCAGTCTTCAACACGAAATGAAGCTTAACATCAAGAAGACATTTGGCAGCATCTGGACAGATGGAGAAGAGATTGAGATTGTTAACAATTTCACCTTGCTTGGCTCCACAATCAACACTCTTGCCACCAGCAGTCAGGAAATAAAAAAGATTAATTGTATAAGGAAAATTTGCTATCAGGGACCTCATCAAAGTGCTGAAGAACAACAATGTCAGTTTAGAAACTAAAGTGCACCTAATCTAGGGCATGCTCTTTGCAGTTACTTGCCATCCATCATAGAGCTGGACCATGACTAAGAATGACAGAAGAAGAACTGATGTCCTTAAGTTGTGGAGATAGTGTATTGACCGTACCACTGACTACCAAGAGATCTATCTTGGAGAGAGTGAAACCAAGTTTCTCTCTAGAGGCAAGGATTTTGAAACAACCTCATGAAACTATCTCACGTATTTTGGGCACGTGACCGGGGGGACTAGTCCTTGAAGAAGGACATCATGCTTGGAAGGGCAGAAGGACAGCGCAGGAGAGGAAGACCCTGGATGAGATAGATTGATACAGTAACTGGAGCAATGGTGGTAGGTGTGTCAGAGAGTGAGATTGACTCAAAATAGAGCAGGGTTCAGAGCTGTCCTGCATAAGGTAGTTATGGGTCACAAGCCACTCAGTGGCCCATAACAACATCATTAATATCACATGCAAGCAAAATCTTGCTGAGAATTATCAAAAAATGACTAGAACATTACATCATTAGAGGAATTCCAGAATTACAAGCTTGGTTTAGAAGAGGGTGCATCACTAGGGACATCATTGCTGCTGCTGGATGTATCTTCTCAGAAAGCAGAGGGTACCAGAAGGATGTCTATTTGTGTTTTTATCGACTATGCAAAGGCATTTGTTTGTATGTATCACAGAAAATTGTGAATAACACTAAGAATAATGGGAATCTCAGAAAACTTAATGATGTTCATGTGAAACCTATACCTAAACCAAGAAGCTGCTGTACGAACAGAGAAAGGAAATAGTGCATAATTAAAAACTAAGAAAAGACTGCATCAGGAATGTATCCTTTCTTCATACTTTTTCAATCTACACACTGAACAGATCATTTGAGAGGCTGGACTTTATTATGAAGAATGTGGCATCAGGATTAGAAGGAAGACTCATCAACAACCTGTGATAGATGACACAACCTTGTTTGACGAAACTGAAAAGGGTTTGAAGTGTTTGCTGCAGAAGGTCAAGACTGCTGCCTTCAAATAGGTTGCATCTCAACATCAAGAAAACAAAAATCCTCACCACTGGGCCAATAGGCAGCCTTTTAGATGGACAAAAGATTGAGTCTGTTAACGATTTCATCCTGCTTGGATCCACAATCAACAAACAGTTTTGGCATCAGTAGTCAGGAGATCAAAAAGTCAAATTTTATTGGGAAACATCTATTAAGAAACTCTTCAGAGTACTAAAGAGTAATGATGTCAGTCTAAAGACTAATATGTGTCTGATGCAGGCCATGGTCTTTGCAATTACTTGCTATGCATCAGAGGAGCTGGACAATGACTAAGGATGACAGAAGAAGAATCTATGCCTTTGAGTTGTGGAGCTGGAGAAAAGTATTGAATTTACCATGGACTGCCAAGAGAACAAACAGATCTGTCCTGGAGAGGGTGAAACTTAGTTGCTTCTTGGAGGTAAAGATTTTAAAACTTCATCCCACATACTTTGGGCATGTTGCCAGGACGGACCAGTTCTTGGAGAGGGACATCATGCTCAGAGGAGTAGAGGGTCAGCACAGGAGAAGATGAGATGGATTGTGGCACTGGGGTCAGTAAGTGTGGCAAAGTGGTCATGTGTGGGGTGTGATTGGCTCAGGACAGAACAAGGTTCAGAAGGGTTGCTATGAGACATACATAACAACATATGACAAACATGACAGCACATAACAACAATAACAATCTAGTAATAGTTTGAAACTAACACTTTATAATACCTTAAGAAACACTACTCTTTTGCAATTAATAGTGAACCTCTCAATTAATGGGTGCTAACTTTCCACAATATCCTTCACTAATGTAAAACTAACATTCTTTCTATAACATTTTAAAATTAAAATGTTCTTCTCTCTGACTAGAAGAGGAATTTAGAGAGGCTTCCTTGTCAAATTGAAGATCTTTCTATGTTTGCCTACTATCTCTACGAACTATAGCAGAGAGTTACTCCCCAGCTGAAGGCCTTTTTTGATAGTTGTCCATGTATCTGCAATCTGTAGTCCAGAAGCACTCCCTTTGACTTTCATGTCACTCTAAAATGAATAGAGAGGCTCGCACCATCCCTGGAACCATGAAAATCCTGCCTAATCAGTCCAGGGCATGATCACCAAGGCCAAACCCCTGGACATGGAAAAATACTGTGAATGTTCTCACATATTCTATTGTCCTGCATCTCCACAATCTAATCCTCCACTGTCTTCAAGGTGGGGATACAGATTTCCAAAGTTCATACCCATTTCCTATAAGTATATAAAAAAACCTGTTTATCCTCTTCAGTCCATCTCCAAGATTGGTTTTTCTGGCAATAGGTATCAGAACTGTAGTTTTCTAGTAACAAGGCTCACCAGTATAAACAAGCACCTCAGGAAGTCATACTGTAAAGCAAGATGCCAAACCCAAGTCCATTACCATCAAGTGGATCCTAATTCATAGTGAACCTACATGATAGAGTGGGAGCCGTGGTGGCCTAGTGGTCAGAAGCTGCAGTGCAATCATAAAGGCACACAGTTCAAATCCACCAGCTGTTCCACAGGACAAGGATGGATAATCTCTGCCTGTATGATTAACTGCCTCGGAAAACCTGCTGGAGGGTCTGCTATGGGTCAGATCCAACTTGACAGTACGTAATAACAATGATAGAACATAAGGTTCATAAGCTGTCAGTCTTTTCAGATGCAGACTGCTACATTTTTCTCCTAAAACAAGTCTTCCACACCCTTTATAAACCCCTGTGGAATATAATGTGTCATTTGACCATACTCCATCTGCCAGTGTAAATTATCAGAATCCTTGTCATCAATCCCAGTTGGTGGACAGCCCTCCTCCCCTAGGGCTCGTCTCTCTGCAGGCTCAGTGCCAGTCAGCTGTGGGGCTGGGATCCTGTGGGCTGTCCTCTTCCTTGGTCACTCTGTGCAGGACCTAAGGTCAGCAGGGGACTGTCCTGCGTGGCTTCACAGAGTTAAGGCATTTAGGCATCTGGGATTTTGTCAGGTTGAATAAGTACATCCGAATACCCTTACAGAGGTTGTAAGCCCAAGTTATCAAAGCTGCCCTGTAGTTCTACCCTGCTGAGTCAATCCACAAAATGAAGCAGCTGAAGCAGAGTCGATTCCAAGTCACGGCTACTACCCCTGGTGTTTCAGAGCAGAACAATGCTCTATACAATTTTTCAGGAGTCCTAGTGGCATAGTGCAGAAACATATCTGACTGTTAAATAAAAGGTCAGTGGTTCCAATCCACAAGCCACTCAGTGCAGGAGAAAGATGGTAGTCCCCTCCCTTAAAGGTTCGCAGTCCCAGATGTGGGAAGAAGGGCTGCTGTTGGTTGGCCTGAGTGGTCCCCTGGTTTAGGTCACCAGCCTGTATGTCTGAGGAACCTCTGGATAGACTTGAACCTCCAGCCTTTCATTTAACTGCCTATCAAATTAACTCCATTGTGAGTCCATCTTCAAATGGGAAAATCAGACCATCCTTGCAGAAATGCAGGGAGTGGGGTTGAATTTGAGCTGTATTGCTCACTGACTTTCAAACAATATTCTTTAAACATCTACTCATTTTTTTAAATTTTTAAATTGTAATTTGAGTGAAATTTACAATGCAAATTGATTTTCCATTTATCCATCCATACACATTTTTATGAAAATATTAATTACAATGACTCATTCATTCATTACTGTCGAATCTGAACTGACTCACACCTGACCCTCCTGCAGGTTTTAGAGTCTGCAAATCACACGGGAGGAGATCGCCCGTTGTTCTCTTGCAGAGCACCTGGTGGATTAGAACCTCTTGGGAGTCCCCAGCCTCTGGGTTGACGGCTCAACCCCCTGCCCCCACCCCGGCCCCCAGTAGAATTCCCTTTAATTATACCACTTCCCCCCTCTATCCACCTTGTAATTCTGTTCCTGAGATGTCTGCTTAAAAGTTTTAAAGACCCAGGCACCATGCAATGAAGTCGGGTATGTAGTCTTTGTGGACTACATTATGTTAATTTATCTGGATCGATGTCCAAAAAAAAAAAAAAAAATAACAAAAACCCACAACATACAAAACAACTGTGGTCTCTGGACCCCAAAGCCAGTTACTCATTCCCTCAGGGTTATGATTAAGAAGTTTTCACAAGACATTACCTCCTACTGACTCTGTTATGTATGTGGACATATTTATAGCATATGCTAATATGAATGAAGAATTATCATTTACCAAAAAATACTTTTTTCACTGTAGTAATACCCTACATAACAAAGGATCTGCTATCTTAAGATATTTTTCATGGGCAATTCAGTGACATGAATGAGTTTCAGAGTTGAGTTCAACCACCACCATTATGTTTCCAGATCTTTTCTTCACCTTTAACAGGAGCTCAATGCCCCTCGCCATCTGCTCACTCTTCATCTGAAAAGGATGCTGACCTGGGAGTAGGAGACAGCAGAGGTGGCACAAAAGGAAGCCCTGCCAGGAGGGAGTGCCCTCAGCAGGCCAGCGACCATCCACACTGGCAGCCGTGCACTTGGGATCTCCCCAAGCGTCTTCACAAAGAATCTCCTACTGTTGCATATGTTCCTCTTGCTGAGAGGGGTGGCTGTAAAGTCATTTCCTTTGTCCTGTAACACTCTGCTCATTGGCATCCTAGCAACCCTTCATTTCTAGTTGTAAGGGTTGATCCTGGAGCAGGGAAGCATAGGAACTCAGTGGTAGCAGCCGTTGTTACAGTTATTAAGATTCGTGTTATAGGAAGTTGACAAAGCTTATGACGTCTTTCAGTTGGAAAAAATTGCAAATAAATCGTGCCTTTTCCCCTAAATTTGAGGAGCTCCCCAAAACCCCCCTCCATAAAACCCCACCACCCCAGCATTTGAGTATCATCTTTTGTCTTGTGAGCTTGTCTGAATGTACTTGAGTTTGCCTGGTACCTCAGAAGACAGGTCTGTGGATCTTTCTGAAAGTGCCCGGTCTTGAAATCCCCAGGAACACATGGCATCACCATGAATCAAGTGACTGGACACCAACAGTGATTCTGTGTAAATTGACCATTCAAGCGGCTTCTTGTCCTCATGCTGTGAGGCTGGTATGTGTTTGTCTGGCACCATTTACAGCTCTGTTTTCTCCACAGGGCCTGAGAAAGGGAAAGAGTTTTTCTCTGTGACAATATTTGGTGGATGACATGGCTTGAGTGACTTGACCAGTTAGCTGGAATCACAGGGAAGGGTTTATTTTAAAATCTCACTCAACTCAAACGGAACTCTCAAATCTGAGGTAAATTCTAGAAGCCTTTAACACCTAGGCGAGCTTTCTCATTCTTTGTAATGAAGAACCAACCGATGTGTGAGAAATGAGAATTGTTTAAAATCTCATTCTTTCTTCTTCCGCTCTCCCCTCCCTGGAGTCTCATGATGCCGGCCAGAAGCTTCTCCAGCCTATTGAGTTCAGTGTCTGAGAAAGTCACATGGCACATAACAAAGAACTGCAGCTACACAATGTCACTGTGTGGCTGCACCGTGTGTGCAAAGTGGAGGGAAATGCCTGCTAGTGAACTGTTGGGAACGGGGGCCTGAAACAAGAGTGTTAGAGGTTTCCTGTCACAGAGGGCAGAAAGTGATTCATTGAATTTCTGAATAACAGATTTGTGGGTGATTATCATTTATTGGCATGAACTGATCCCTCTTTATGTTTTTAACTCTATGGATCAGGCTGTTGCATCAAAGCAGTAAAGAATAAAATCATAACTTCAAAGGAAAAACATTTTAAGACAAAAAAATGTCTCTGAAATTGGACCACCTCTGACTAACAGTATTTTCTCCCAGTCTGATCTTTGTCCATATACATATGTTTTGTATATAAATGCAATAATTTTTTTTATTTCACTGATATATCTTAAGTGTGCTTACATAGTCTCTTCAAGGATTTGTACTATGTGCATTTGTGTGTCAGAGTGAAAATTTACAAAGCAAATTGGTTTTCCATTCAACTATTCATTCATGGCCTAGTGAGTAAGGAATTTTGATACCAACTCAAAGGCAGACGGTTCAAAGATAGCTACTGCTTTCTGGGAGAAAGATGAGCAGGTCCCCCCTGTGTGATTTAGTCACTGAAAACCTGCTGGAGAGTCAGCTACGTGTTGGCTCTGACTCGATGGCAATGAACATTCATATACATTTTTTTATGATGTAAGTGATCTTTCTCCATTTCCTCCCTGTGATTCTCAATTCCATCAATCCTTCTAACCTATGCTCCCTATCTCCTGGGCAAGTCCTGCCCTCTTGACTTTGTATGTCTGGTTAGCCTAAGAAGTGCGTGCCTCCCTGTACTCTGATACTGTTCCTCTTCTAGGCTGTCTGTCATTCGACTGAAAGTCATACTATGGGGGTTGAATTTTGTTACAAGGTCAAAGGGTTGACTAAGGGCCATAGGTTCCCCCAGTCTTCAAAGATTATTGATTACCTGAAGTATTTCTATTGTTTACTGAGACTCCTTTAAGCATTTTTTTAAAAGCAAGTGGTCATCAGGAAGGGAGCTATCATTTGGTCTTTCTTTTTGTTGCTTTTGTTAAGAGGAATTTGTAAATTTATTGAGACTCACCAATTAAATACCTTTTTAAATCTGTGGAATAAGTGAAAAAGCTTAAAAAAAGAGAAACAAAAAAAAACCTTTGTTTCTCTTTTTGCTGGGAATGACAAACAATATTCTTCTCTCATTCATGTGACCAATCATCGATTTTTTTAGTATTATTATTTAATAATATTCATTTGAGCAAGGCCCAGATGCCAAGGACTCCCCAAAACCTGAGGCTGGGAGTAGATCTCAAGGCTTTAAGAGCTAAATGAACATACTGTTGGATTGCAAGTGAGGACTGAGAGCCTGTGGCCTGCTAGACCAATCCTACCTTCTCCTCTTTAGACAAAGTTTTGTTAGAACACACCACATCCATCTGTTTATGTATTACCAACAGGTGCTTTCAAGCAATAAGATCTGACTTTAAATAGTTCTGGAAAAGACTGTCCACCCTACACAAGATGCCGTAGTGGTGTAGTGTATAATGTATTGGGCTGCTACAAGAAACGTTGGTAGTTCAAATCTACCGCCTGACTGTTCCTCAGGAGACAGATAAGCAGTCTCCTCCTGTATCGTTTTCCAACCTCAGAAACCCCCCTGGGGGTCGCCTGGGTCCAGGTAGACTGAAGAGCAGTGGATTTGGCTAAGGGGTTGTTGTTGTGTTGTTTTTTTTTTTTTTATCTAGCTGAAAATATTTACTACCCAGCACTCTATAAATAAAATTTGTGCACTCCTGGGTCTCAGGGCTGTCTGCCTGGCTGCCTCCCTTCCCTTCCAATTTGGAAGGCCTGGGTTTGATTCCAGGCCAGTGCACTCATGTGCAGCAACCCGTCTGTCTGTGGAGGCTGCATGTCACTCTGAGGTTGACCAGGTTTCAACCGAGACTAAGACTAAGATGGACATCCACGTGGGGAAAACAGCTGGTGAAAACTCTTGATCACAATGACTCAATCTATGACTGATCACGGGTAAATGACAGGATTGGGCAGGGTTCTGTTCCGACTTGTCGGCAGCTAACTCCACCAGCTAACCACACCGCCTCACTAGCTATGCCAGACACTATTGTGAAAAGATGGCTTGTTCTCTTTCAACCTGGGCAAATTGTGGTGTATTTTAAAAGCTCAGGAATACTTTTTAGAAGTCAGAGTTTTCCATCCACTGGCTTTGGCTGGATTCCAGATATTTCTATTCATGTAGGCAGAGGTGGACAGGGCACGTGTTATACAAACAATTCTCAGACTTCACTTTTGTCTCTGCTCGATCCCTTGTCATTTTAACCAACACAATAAAAATGCAGCAGTAAGCAGGGTCAAGTAGGCTACGCCAGAGAGCAATGTGAAAACGAGATTACAGGCTGTGATTAGAGGCTCTAACTCTGTGAATTCTTTCATCACGTGATGCGAACCACAGTCACTAGGTTTTGTAAAACACACTGTCCAGCTCTTGGAGGCATAGAATAGATGACAACTGCATTTTAAAATGTTTTGTTCAAGGAAGTGAAACGTGGTCTTTCCCGACAGCAGAGAAGCAAAGCAAAATAAAATAAAAAAGGGGAGGGTTTGTAAAACAATGAAAGAATCTTTTCTTTTACTTTTCCATAATTTTTGGACTCATGTACTTATAACTTGTTAGTCAAATTTGTGTCTTCTAGGTTGCAACACCCCCATGATACATCTTCAAGGATATGAACATGTACAGCCAAGCACAATCAATAAGAGTGCATCTAAATTCCAAAATCAATCTCCATAATAGTCTATGTGTTTCCTACTGCCAAAGGGGCCCTTTAGAGTAGTGAGAGAAGATCTTCACCCTGAAACCCACAGCGTCCCTTTTCAGCAGGAAGTAGCTAAGAGAATACGCCGTCCCCTTTTCCTTATGACTCAGGGTGAAGTCTCTCTCAGGGAGGAGTGATAGGGAATGGCAAAGGATACACTGACAAAGAAGATTAATCAGAACTGGCTTTGACAAGCACTGTGGCATTTGGACAAGAACAAACTGGGAGGAGGGTAGAGAGAATAGTGCAACAATGAATGAGTGGAAGCCCAAAATCTCTGTAAATGTTTATGAAAATTAATAAAATATAATTATAGAAAAAAAAATAATAATTTAAAAAATTTCCCCCTAATTCTCCTTTTTCTGTTCCTGAATGAATTATTATATTACTAAGTGAGAAGTGAGTTATGCCCTTTCACTTGTTTGTAAACGCTGGGGTCTTTTGCATTTCGATAGATGCATAAATGGAAATCCAGTAACATCATTACTAGTTGGGTAAACACAGATCTTCCACACAGAGAACAGGTTCGATTCCCCGTCAATGCACTGCATGCACAGCCACCTGTTGGTAGAAGCATGCACGCTGCTCTAATGCAGAACAGAGTTCAGCAGAGGAAGAACAACCTGGCAATCTGCTTCTGAAAAATCAGCCAATGAAAACCCCTCTATAGAGTACTACAGTTTTCTCTCCAGCCAATCATGGGCAGGCACAGAACTGGCCAGATTTCGTAATATGGTACAGGGGGTGGAGGTTGCCAAGTGTTGGAGAGGGTCCATGGCAGCAACGAGCAACAATCTTACGTGAGAGGACTTGATCTTCAGTGAGACAGGCGCTCTTCTGAGTGATGGATCAGAGAATAAAGTGGTTTGGCAACAAAAGCAATTTGGCAATAAAAAGCCATTTGGCAAAGTAGTTTGGCAACATGAATAAAAAATTCTTAACCCAGTAATTGCACTTTGAGAAATCTGTCCCAAAGGAATCTTCAGGAGTGTGGAAATGACTGAAATAAAAATCCAGACGTGGGAGTTTACTTAGAGAAATCATAAAACATTTATAAGTGGTGTATTATGATGCCTTTAAAATTATGATTTTGAAGAAAAATGTATTAATGTGAAGAAACGTTCATACTATCAAAAATATTGGGGTAAATATCCACCGCTTTCCTCATTGCGGCTTTAAAACAAAATACCAGAGCAGAGGTGATATTTCTGGAAGGGGAGATATGAATTATTTTGGTGTTTACACAGTGAGGCATGTGAGAGCCGAAATATGGGGTTGTCTTAT